CAGACCCACTCGTTTTGTTGACATCCAGGGAGAGGAGTGCTTTACGCTCCAAGCGCTGTGTAAACAGCACTTCCCGCATGGAGAACTCAGACCGCGGGATGGTCGGCGGTGTGTTCTCCCCGTCACCTAGAGTCGAGTTGGAAGCAAAAAGAGAGCCTAGCATATCGGCTTTCTCCTTTGCGTCATGGGCCAGTGAGTCGTCCACCCTGTGCAGAAATGGCAGAGATGGCTGACAGAAGTTCCCTTGGACAGCATTGGCGAGAGACCAGAATGCACGCATTCCCGAAGGGAGGCGAACTAGTTTCTCGCCAATTCTGCCGATGTGCTCTGACTTTGCCTTGGCAATGACACTTTTGAAGGACCTGGAGGCGGAATTATACTTCTTTTTAAAAGCGCTGGTGTTTACATCCTGGGACGTTGATGCGTCAGCCCAGGCCTGGTAGCACTCCTGCTTATAACGTGATGCTATTTTATCCGATGGGCACCACAGAGGATGGAATAAAAAGTTCCATACCCTGAAGTACCACATCAGCAACAGAATCGGCAACAACGCTGAGATCTTCCGGCGAGAAGCAAACCCTCCTAAGGGTAGGATGCAAAAAAAGACCGCATCCCGTCCCAATCGGCCGACCTATAGTGCCAAACCCGACGGCAAGCCACAGATCGCAATTGCGATGGGAGTGTGAGTGGCATCGTACTCCGGATCAGACAATGGTCTGAAGAGCCCAGAGGGGCATCGACAGAGACCTGATATCTGTCCGGATGAGAAGTCAGCAGAAGGTCCAACAGGGAAGGTACATGATCCTCCACATCTGGGATCCGCGTAGGCGAAGTAACCAGTTGTGTTAGATCATATGCCAAAGCAAAGTCATAAACAGATCTACCCGCATGATCGATTAAACTAGAACCAAGCCATTCAGCGTGGTGGGCGTTAAAATCATCACGATCCCGATCGTCACGAGTATCACGATCTCTGCGGATGGGACCTGTTGTAGCACGGAGTTTGGACGTGGTCGATGAGTCGGTCTGTGTCAACATTACCGCTGTGGGACCTATAGCACCCGTAGACGCGGGGATGGTCGTCGCTGTCTATGCGCAGCCATAGGATGGACAGTTCCGTACCTTCAAGGCTGCCGAGGCGTCGAAAACAGATGTCCTCTCTGACCTTATCGCAAACTCCAGCCCAGGGCACAAAGGAGTGTTCAAATTTGTACCCCGGGTTGGAGAGATATAAGTATCAGCCGGAGAGGACATCTGGGTCTCGGTTAAAAAGAGCAAGGCCGGCTTCGCCGTCTCTAGATGGTAATTGACAGCGTTAAGGTTGGAATGAAGTCCTCTGATATTGCAAAAATTCACGGATAGCGTGAAAGGGGTCGTCTTGGTCTTATTGTTCAGCTTGCTTCGAGCAGTATTAGTCGCGAGCGGAATTTTGCCCCCCCCCCCCCTCCTAAAATACGCGGGGCACCCACGCCCAGGAGTGGAGTAGTTTGGCCATGGATGCTCAGCGAGGGATTCTACAAGGGTGCTGGTATCCTCCTGGGTTAGTCTATCTGTTTAATCCCACTAAGCGGAAACAGAGGTAAACATCTACTTCACGCTGGTATTCTGTGAGGTCGTGGTACCACCCCGGTTCGAGCCGGCCCATTCGTGCGACAGCAAAAGCTGCCGCGTGGATTTACCACTGTTAAAATAACTGTGCACGGACTGTATTTTATTTGTCATAATATCAGCGTGACAATTTTGGTAGTAGATTATGAGCTTAAATAATGATTCTTTCATAATCATCAGTACAGCCCTTCACAAGTCCATTGCTGAACATAGGCCTCCCCCAAGGAATGCCACAAAGCACGGTCCTGAGCCACCTGCATCCACCGACTTCCTGCATATCTTACCAGGTCGTCACTCCATCTCGTGGGGGACGCCCTACACTTCGTCTGCCGGTATGAGGCCACCACTCGAGAACCTTTTTTCCCCATCGGTTGTCGGTTCTTCGAGTTATATGGCCGGCCCATTGCCACTTCAGCTTACTAATCCATTGGGCTATGTCGGTCACTCTGGTTCTACTGCGGATATCCTCATTTCTAAGTTTATCACGCGGAGAAACTCCGAGCATAGCCTTCTCCATAGCTCGCTGAGCAACCTTGAGCTTCCTCATCCGGCCAGCAGTGAAGGACCACGTCTCAGTTTCATAGGTCATCACTGGCAACACGCACTGGTTGTACAGTCTCGTTTTCAAGTTTTGAGGTATACCTGACAAGAAGATGTGCCGTAATTTCGAACGTTGCCCAACCGAGTTGAATCCGTCGATTGACCTCTCGGTCGAAATTGGACTTACCTAGTCGGACTATTTGTCCCAGGTAAACATACTCGTCAACAACTTCGAGCTTGGTGCTCCCAACAACTACCGGCATAGGTGTGGCATGGACATTAAACATGATCTTTGTATGGTCCATGTTCATCTTAAGACCTATCCGTTGGGAAACACTATTGAGGTCATTGAGCAAAGTTCTTAGGTCCTCCAGCGATTCTGCCATAAGGACTATATCGTCGGCAAATCGAAGGTGAGTGATGTACTCGTCATTGATGTTAATACCGTATTCTTTCCAGTTCAGAAGCTTGAAAACGTCTTCCAATGCAGCGGTGAAGAGTTTCGGGGATATCACTTCACTCTGTCTTACACCTCTCTGCAATTGGATAGGTTTCGTACTCTGGTTCTGTACTCAGATAGCCATTGTAGCCCTACTGTACAAGCACTTCACCTCTTCGATATATCCACAGTCAACTTGGCACCGCTGAAGACATTGCAGCACCTTGTTAAATTTCGACGGAATCAAAGGTTTTCTCATAGTCCACATACGCCAGACATAGTGGGAAATTGTACTCCTCAGACTTCTGTACAATTTGGTGAAGGGTATGTATGTGGTCTATGGTGCTAAAGCCTTTTCGGAAACCGGCTTGTTCGAGAGGCTGGAAGTCATCAAGTCTGCGCGCGAGACGATTCGTAATAACTCTCGAAAACAGCACGTAGACGCGGCTCAGAAGGGAAATCGGTCTGTAGTTCTTCAAGAGAGCGTTGTCACCTTTCTTGAAGAACAAGTCCACCGCACTTCTGCTCCACGCCACGCAAAGAGTTCATCATAAAGAGTTCCTCTTTCTCCATGAAGTCGGCCAGCTGCTGGCCCCTTGGGTTCCGTTACCCTATTCCGAATTTCCCTACTTTCAGTTCACCGTTTTCTCTTGTTCCTAGTTTTGCGTTGAAGTCTCCCATTAACACCGTATAGTGAGTTTTGGAGAAATGCATGGCTCTAGAGATATCCTCATACATTTCCTCCACCTCCTCAGCGGGGTGTGCCGAGGTTGGTGCTTAAACCTGTATGACCTTCAGCGAATACCGTTTGTTGATTCTGAGTATAAGGTACGCAACCCTCGTCGACACACTACTAATCTTTACAACGTTAACGAGAGACTTGTGGACGATAAATCCAACACCTCCTTGGGACAGATGGTCGCCCTCCCGGTGATGGAACAAGTTGCTGGATTCGAGAATTACCGTGTCCTCCCCCTCTCTTCGGACCTCGGATGATCCTATGATATTCCAGCGCAACTTGTCTATCTCTTCTTCCAGCTCCAGGATTTTCTTGTCAGTCCTCAGGGTGCGTGTGTTATAAGTTGCCAGGTCGAGTCGCAACCGAACCTCTTTCTCGATTCTTTAATAGGTCGAAATGCCTTAGTAGAACTAAGTAGTTTTGATACTTTTGAAGACTTTTGACGACAATACATTAACAAGATCGCAATACTCATGACATTAATAGGTTCCTGAAAAGTTTAGTAAAATGATGACAGTGTACAGCAAGATGAACATTATGGCTTTAGTGATAATGTTCATTTGCTGTGCATGTAGCGCAATTTGAAAACTTGAGTAAATTTGCCAAACAAATGCTATGTGTTCCTGTGTCCAATGCGAAATGTGACAGTCGTTCATCAATCTTTCGTATAAAAACTGTCGACAGAAACTGATTTAACATTAGAAATTAACTTAGTAATAGAAAATGAAAGAAATATATATGTATATAAAAACGTTTAGTGTAATTAAGATTATACTTATTATATGTAAATGTAATAACTAAGTTTCTAGTTTTAGTATTTTTTATTATTGTTATAGTTTTTAATATTGAAAATAATAAAATATTATATATTATGTTATGTAAATAAAAATATAATTGTAATTTTTTAATAAATACACTGATTTTTTTTGCATAGTGTAACTTTTATTTTATGTGAAAGAATGCTGTTTGGTAGGAACTTAGCAGATTTTAAAATATGTTTAGTAAATTTTAGTAGTATTTGTCGATAATTTTAGTAGAATCGCAGAAAAAAAAATTGGTCACACTGCATATTATGTCAGACTGACATATTATGCAGTGTGACCAATTTTTTCTTGTTATCTTGACATTGTCAGTTATCATATAGGTGTTTTGTATAATAGTTTAAATAATAGTTTGAAGTGGATTTTGATATGTAAAAATGGTGCGATTTTATGTATTAACTGTCTACGCATGTGAACTGTTAGTGGAAACGGTGAAACAAGTGCTCTGATGGTGATGGATTTTCAAGATAAGCTGTTTGTTTGCATAGGTGCCTTTAGATACCATCGCCAAAAATTTATCGCCATCAACATTTGTGAAGCAGTGAACTATGAAGGATAATTATACATAAAGACGAGGCTGTATGGCATAGCTCCTTTGCCTGCTCTCTCGAGCAAATAATAAAAACAACAACAACAGTTATCATATATGTCAGATGTCAGTCGTTTTGCCATAATGTCATAACATTAGAAGTTGAGAACACAAGTTATCAAGATCAAGTTGTATGTACAAGAGTTTAGAAGTCCAAGTGCATTAGAAATTCAAAATCGAGATAAAGATTATAGAGACTTGGTGAAATTAATAATATTAATTTCGTATCTTCATCTGTTAGGTTGTGCTATTTGTAATCGAACTATGGAAGATAAATATATATTATCGCTGGATATTGGAACTAGTACCATTCGATCTGTAATTTACAATTCAAAGACTGATATTATAGGCAATGCTTTTGAACAGGTATTTGTTAAATTGTGATTATTTATTAGAAACTACGGCTCACGGCTCAGCTGCACTAAGCCTTACATGGTAGGCTTTTGTGGCAGTTTCTGTATTTTTTTTATAGGATAGGGTGACTAACGAGCACACAGTCCACCTGATGGTAAGTGGTTACTGTGACCCATAGACATCTACATCTATCCTCAATAAAGACTCAAGATGCAGATGCGTTGTCACCCGTGAGGACTAAGATGGAATGCCTCTTTGACAGTAAAAAGGGTCTCCAGTTCTCTACACTCACCATACGAAACACAGCAGCGTTAAGCTGCTATTTTACGCTGGTATTCTGTGAGAGCGTGGTCCTTCCCCGGTCGAGCCGACCCATTCGTGCTACAACTATACTACTAATATAGCTGCAGCATGGCTTTACCACGTAAATTTCTGTATTGTTGCCACGAAATGCTGTAACCATCTTCAGTACCCTCGTATACACATATACGCACCATGGCACATATGCTCCCTAACAAATTATATATCGGAATAGTAATTCTAGTAATATTCACCCTACCAAATTATATATTGGAATAGTAATTCTAGTAATAAAGTAGTGTTCTCTAGATTTAAGATAAATTTATAAAAAAATTGTTCTCAAGTTTTTGAATAAAATATACCCTAGATCCCCTTTTGGGATCGCTCTCTATCTGTTCATAGAGTTTCGTCACATTTGGTTCAGTCATTTGAAAGTTTAACCCAGACAGGCAGATAGACAAATTTTTTAAAATGGTTGTTTATGTCTTTATAGTTATTTTAATATTACAGACACACACTTCAATTTTGTTTGTATGTATAGATTTAGCAAATAGACAAACATATTTCTTTCTTTTTTCTAATAGTATCCTGATATTTTGTTGAATAAATGGGTTTGATTGTTTATGTTTTTGAGTGTTAACTTTTTTTCCAGGTTGTTTTACATTACCCAAAACCTGGTTTTGTAGAAGTTGATCCTGACGAACTCTGGCAGTCAATTGTTAATGTTGTGAAAAAATCTCTCGAAGGTATGTTTATAACAACATCTGTTATTGAAAGGTTGTTAAAGTGGTTAAGTGGAGTTATTATAGTTTAATATACAGGGTAATTTTTAATTTACTGAAGACCTTTTGGGAATATATTATTTACATCATAACAACAACATCTGTAAGAAAAGAAATTATATTTCTTCAATTTTTATTTTCATACAAAAATAAAAATATTTTAATTGGACCTTCTAAACGGCAATAGTCCTAAATAGCAAAATAAAGCGCGTGGCGGGGTAGGGGTGGAGGGGTGTAGGAGGCGGCGCTTGCTCATTTGAACTTGACCTAATTATCTGTGTCGTCAGTCGCCTTTGGTGCGCCCGCGACGTTTCTCCTTCTGTTGTGAGATTAATATCGCGAACGTTACGCGTTGTTACAATGACATACCAATACTCAAATATTGGGTATACCGAAATGGTGCGAATTTTAGCAATTTGCAATGATAACCTTAGTGAAGCCTGCCGTGAATATTCAAGGCGATTTCCCAACTCACGTGCACCGAGCTATGCTACAATGCTAGGTACTACACAGCGATTGCGAGATTACGGGCAATTCCAGCCTGTACCAATCGATCGTGGTCGTCCACCGCGGCGCACAGTACGTGAGCAGGAAGACTTACTGCAGTTTTTTGAACAAAATCCAGCAGCGAGCACTTATGAGGCAGCCCGACAGTTCAATGTGTCACAGTACTACGCATGGAGTGTCATACACAATGAAGGGAAGTACCCTTTCCACTTGCATCGTGTTCATGAACTCAGCGAAGCTGACAAACCTGCACGAGTTACATTTTGTAACTGGTTACTAGCTGCTGAACGAGCCAACATTTTATGGACTGATGAAGCAACATTTGGCAGAATAGGACTATTTAATTCGCACAATGAACACTTGTGGTGCTATGAAAATCCACATGAACCAAGACCGCATAGCTTTCAACACCGGTTTAGTGTCAATGTGTGGGCAGGCGTTATTAATACAACGTTACTGGGCCCGGTCTTCATAGAAAGATTAAACGGTGAAAGCTATCATAGTTTTCTCACCGACACGCTGCCAGAGTTGTTAGAGGACATACCACTTGCATCTCTATGCAATATGTATTACCAACTAGACGGGGCGCCGGCACACTATGCTCGCCAAGTTAAGGATTATTTAAACAGAGAATACCCTGGTCGCTGGGTCGGTCGTGACGGGCCTTGTGCATGGCCTCCCAGATCGCCAGATATCACACCAATGGATTTTTATTTGTGGGGGCATGTAAAGACATAAGTGTATACTGGTCGCGCATTCGAAACCCGCTACATGTTGAAAGAAAAAATAATTTGGGCATTCGATCAAATCAAAATCAATCATCAAGTATTATCTCGTGTCGGTGAATAGTTAAGTTTTAGGTGTCACCTATGCATAGAATGTGGAGGTGATTATTTTGAACGCTATGTGCGCGATACTCACCGCCATCCGCGGGCAAGTACATAGGTAAGTTTAATTTTTAAATTTGTATTTTAATATTTTTATTGAACCATTATACCTTAATATCTTTATTATATTTTACTGTTAATTTGTATTTATTCATTATAAATATTTTATTGGAATATTTGTAATTATTTTAACCTGCATCCATTTTTTAAATAGAATTTACATTAAATAAAAAAAATAGTTAATAATACTCATTTAATTTGCACGTGCTACAAACAGATCACCAAATCAATGCCTGCAAACCGAAAAGGGCAGGCGGCGCCTTTGATGACGGTAAACACTGTGTCGACGTTATAATATATCGTTGGCTTGGCCTTGGGCCGCCGCATGTGCGACGTTGAGGCGTTGCCTCTTGGATGCAGGCAGAGTTGCTAGAAAAACAGTATTCGTAAAAAAACTACCTAAATGTCTATTAAAGAATGTCTATCAATTCTTAAAGAAATTAATAAAATAATCAAATAGTTCTTCAAATGGTTTTATGCAAAATAAAGAAGTATATGAAAAGTTAATGTAAAGTCATTTAAAGTGGCGCCCTGGTGCAATAGGCACAGTGATGAATGGTTTAGTAGGCACTCGCAACGCAATCAGCTGAGCGCGGCCGTCGACCGGCCCGGCGGTCATTCTTACTTATTATAAATTTTAATATTTGTGGTTTTTTTTGAATGTCATTTGCTTATTTAATTATGTTTAATGATTTCAACACAATGTGTGATACTGATATCAAGTGTAAAATAAGTAAGGCATTTTCTTTGACGATTTATTCTGACATTGTTTAGGTACTACAAAATACAGACTTAAAAGGAGTTAGACATGACAACAAAACCTTAAAAGTAGTTTTTTCGTAAATGTATTATATTCTGTGAAGAGTGATCTCGCTAAAATTGTTTGTAATGATGTAACCAATATATTCCCAAAAGGTCTTTAGTAAATTAAAAATGACCCTGTAGATTGGTACAAATTAAGGTCATTAATCACCATCATTTCTCGAGGAATGCCTTCATCATTGTCATACCTGGTCATCACTCTCTCTAGTGGGGGGTCGTCCTACTATTTGCAATCTGGTATGTGGCTGCTACTCAAGAAACTTTTTTCAACTTTGTTTGTTAGTCATTTGTGCTACGATATGGCGTGCTCACTGAGACTTCAGCTTACTAAGCCATTAGATAATAACAGCTAAAAGGATACGTGCGACGTTTCTTTGCCGTTTCTTCATCAGACAAAGGATTTTTTTTAAAAAGAGTAGTAGATTAAAAAAACACTTTGACGTTTGACTACCGAAAATAAATTCTTATGTCATAAAATAAAGAGTTTTGATTTCATTTCACTCCGGTTCTTATATGTTTATCTATATCACAAATTTAATTAATCATGCAAAAAAACTCAGAGCATAGCACATATTTAGATCTTTAGTTACAAACATATGTTTGTATTCTCAAACATTACTTTCTTAAATTTAGGAGCAACATTGTCATGAGTTAAGTAAATGTTTTTCACTGAGTTTGGTATAGCAAGACATTATTTCATAAACAATACACAAATAACTTTTTACTGCATATGCTAATGGCACACAGTTAACCATCTGATAAACAAACGTCAAGGTTGTCATTGTGTAATCGAATTCTCTCTTCATAACCCATTTTTTAACTTAGTGATACACTCATAGAATAGAATGGAATAATTTTTTATTCAATACTAGCTGTTCCCCGCGACTTCGCTTGCGTGTTAGGGTTTTTATTTTTTTGCGCGGAACCCTAATTCTTTTTCTAAAATAAAAGTAGCCTAAATTACTCCTTATGACATCAGCTATCTGCCAGTGAAAGTCCAGTCAAAATCGGTCCAGCCGTTTCGGAGATTAGCCGGAACAAACAGACAGACAGACAGACGGACAGACAGACAGACAAAAATTTTAAAAATTGTATTTTAGTCATAAGTACTGTATTTAATTTCATATGCATTTAGTAAAAAGCTGTCATTTTGACATTACAAACAGACACTTCAATTTTATTTATTTGTATAGATGTAATCTACATGTATGTAATTTTTATTGAAAGTAATTTTTCCTTTACCACTATACATAATAATCTATGTATAGTAATTTCTATACTCTTTACCTGTGTTCCATGTGTACCAATGCCCTTAGTCAAAACAGTTTTGACTGATTTTTGTAGTCAAAAGTGGTATAAACCAACATTCTTAGTCAAAAGTGGTGTTGTCTGATTTAAATTTCAGACTATCGTTCAAAACTCGCAATATCAGTAACAGTAGGTTAAGGTGCGTCTGGGGTTGCCCTTGGGCCACCCTAAAGCCACTTACATTATAATGATAAAAAATATAATATTGAAGAAATTTAACTTTTTAATTTCAGAAATTCAAAAAGTATAAGTGAAAAGAAGTTTTGACTAACATTGTTCGTCAAAACCACTTTTAACCGATGTAATTTGGTCAAAATCACTATTACCCAATCTTATTGCAGTTAAAAGTGGATATTTATATGTGGTAGAGCCATGCTGCAGCTATATTAGTTATAGCTCTTTACTATTATATATTTATATATTACTATTAGTATAGTATAGTTGTAGCTCGACTGGGTCCGCTCGACCGGGGAAGGACCACACTCTCACAGAATACCAGCGTAAAATGGCAGCTTGACACTGCTGTGTTTCGTATGGTGAGTGTAGAGAACCGGAGACCCATTTTACTGGAAAAGAGGCATTCTATCTTAGTCCTCACGGGTGACGACGCATCTGCATTTTGATTCTTCATTGAGGATAAATGTAGATGTCTATGGGTCACAGCAACCACTTACCATCAGGTGGACTGTGTGCTCGTTTGTTACCCTATCCTATAAAAAAAAATTTACCAACAGCCTTAGTCAAAACTACTTTTAACTCCAAAAATCAGTGAAAAGAGTTATTGACATACGTTAAGTGGTATTGACAAATGTCCTTAGTGAAAACTACTTTTGCCTGATTTTTACAGTGTAAAGTGGTTTTGACTGGTTATGAGTTTTGACTATAACATATACAAATTCAAGGCATCTTTTTTTTCAAAGTTTAATTACATTTAATTATAATATGTTACCATCTTGTAGAGGTGTAGGTAGTGACATAATCCTGTTGCTGTAGAAATCTTGGGACTTTTGATCAAAAAAATGCGACCAGTAGTTTTGATAGTGCTCTCTTGATGTTAATCTAAAGCCCCTGATACACTAGAGGATATTTTGTCCCGCCACATGACGCGGAACACTCAATCTACGTGACGATGCAATGTTGCACATTGACCCGCAGCATGGCCCTCTCAGATCATAGAAACAACATTTAACGACAACTCTCATTAACGCCATAAAATGCGCAGTTCCTTACACTGTAGTGACAAATTATGTTTTACAATAATTAATTATATCATGAATTCGTACTTAGCAGAATCGTATAAAATATCGACAACCACAAACATCACATCACATCGCTAACTCACAAAAGCCGGCAGCGGCTGCTTCACGAAACTATCGTGTG